AATTGTCCTCATGTGGAACCTCTACATAAACCAAGAAACAGTGTATCAAACACAGTAAAGTATGTTGTTGTTGTTGGCAAGTGCCATCAAGTCAGATCGAACTCATAATGACCCTGAATAGGGCTTCCAAGGAGTGTCTGGTGGATTTGAACTGCTGACCTTGCAGTTAATAAACAGTATTCATCAGGACTACAGTGCCACACCAGAATTTCTAATAAAGGTTTAACATCTGGAAAGGTTCGGATTATTCATTATAATGCTTAAACATATCTACTGGAGTACTTGTGAGGCACTGTGGGCAAATGTGTTGAACTGCAAAGTCGTTTGAACTGCAAGGTCAGAAATTCAAGCTCTTCAGTCACTCCTTGGAAACCCTATACAGGGTCACTATGTGTCAGAACCGACTCGGCGGCACTTAACAATAACACAATAACAAAAACACCAAAGATAACCACTAATCCTATAGATCCACAAATCACAATTCAAAATTAAATTACTTTGGGAAAGCCTGAGATACTCTCAATTATGTATCAACAACAAATTTGCTAGTTAGAGTACATGAATGTGAAAATGTTTGTTTTTCAGAGTAAGCTCTTATTTTTATATGACTTTAATTCCCTAGATATACGTTTGCTAAAGTAAAGGGAAGAAGTGAGGAGCTAAACAGAAAGTTTTGAAGGGCAGCTGGAGAAGACAAAGTCAAATATTACAATGAAATGTGCAAAGACCTGGAGTTAGAAAACCAGAAGAAAGACCATACTCAGCATTTCTCAAGCTCAAAAAAGAAACAAGTCAAGCCTTAACTTGCAATATTGAAAGTTTCTATGGGCAAAATATTGAATGATGCAGACAGCAATAAAATAAGATGGGAGGGATACACAGAATCACTGTACCAAAATGAAATAGTTGATGTTCAACCATATCAAGAGGTAGCATATGATCAAGAGCTAATCGTACTGATGGAATTAATCCAAGGTACCCTGAAGGCATTTGCAAAGAACAAGGCTTCCAAAACTGATGGAACACAGATTGAAATCTTTCATCAAACTGAGGCAGCACTGGAGGCATTCACTCATCTACATCAAGAAATTTGAAAGACAAATACCTGGCCAAGTGACTGTAAGAGATCCATATTTGTGCTCATTCCAAAGAGGGGAGGTCCAATGAAATCTCTGGGCATCTCACGCAAGTAAATATTTGGATAAAATTATTTCAAATAGAACTGCAACAGTACATTTACAGGGAGCTGCCAGAGATTCAGGCAGGATTCAGACAGGTATGTGGAATGAGGTATATCACTGCTAATGTCAGATGGACCACGTTGAAAGTAGAGAATACCAGATAGGTGTTTATCTGTGCTTTATTGACTACATAAAGGCTTTTGATTGTTTGGATCACGACAAACTATGGACAACATTTCAGAGAATGAGTATTGTAGAACACTAAATTGTGCTTATGAGGAAACTGCATTACCATGAGGCAGACATTTGAACAGAAGGGGACACAATGGTTTAAAATTAGAAAGAGGTGTGCCCGGGTTGTATCCTTTCACCATACTTATTCAATCAGTATGCTAAGCAAATCTGAGAAGCTGGATTACATGAAGAAGGTGGCATCAGGTTTAGTGGAAGACTCACGAACAACCTGAGATATGCAGATGCTACCTTACTTGCTGAAATTGAAGAGGACATAAAATATTTAATGATAAAGATCTAAAACCACAGCCTTTGGTATGGGTTGCATCAATATTTACATCATCTATAAATCAGCACCATTCTTGATTCATATAGCAGATTCCAGCCACTCTGTAGCTTAAAACATAATAATGCAATGCAAATAAACAAAAATCCTTACCACTGGACCAATAAACAGCAATGGAGAAAAGACTGAAGTTGACAAAGACTTCTTCTTACTCGGATCAACCATCAACACTCATGGAAGCAGAAGTCACAAGAAATGAAATGACATATTGCATTGGGCAAATCTGCTGCATACAACCTCTTTAAAGTGTTCAAGAGCAAAGATGTAGTTTGTGCCTGACCCAAAGCCATGGTATTTTCAATAGCCTTGTATGCTTGTGAAAGTTAGATAGTGAAAGTTAGATAGTGAATAGAAAGACCATGGATTTGAGACCATGGATTTGATGAATTTGAGTTATGGTTTGGGAGGAGAATATTAAAAATGCCATGAACTGCCAAAAGAATAAACAAATCTGTTTTGGAAGAAATACAGAAGAATGCTCCTTAGAAGCCTTCATGGTGAAACTTCATCTCTCAAACTTTGGACATATCATCAGGAGGGACAATTCCCTAGAGAAGGATATCATGCTGCACAGTGGCAGGAGCAACGGATTCATGTGCAACAATGATTGTGAGGATGTCACTAGACTGTGGTTTATAGGATTGCTATGAGTTGGTATTGACTCAATGGCATCTAACAACAACAACAGATATATATATATATATCACTATCTTTAACTGTGTTTTATATCTTAGGCACATTCAATGTATCAAACCATTTTCTGTTTTTCTTAACAGTCTACATTGATGTACAGAAAATCTAAGCAGCAGATACTTTATATTATATGATTGTTTTCTTCTCTGACGATTATTTTCTTCTTCAATACTTGTTATTGTTAAATGCTGTCAAGTTAGTTTAGACTCGCAGAGACCCTGTATTGGGTCTCCAAGGAGCAGCTAATAGCTTGAATAACAACCTTTGTAGTTCAAACTAACCTTGCCATTTAGAGCATTAACCCTCAGCACCACATCAGGTCTTCAGTAGTGGTCTATGACTTTTTGTTATCCTAGATTGTGGAATTTAAATTCAAATATTTGACTGGTTGTCAAATTTCTGAAATCATTTGCTGTGGTAGATCATCTACTCCTCTAATTCCACTTTTTCTGAGTCTAATCAGAACATCAATATTTACATCATCCATAAATCAGCACCATTCTTGATTCATATAGCAGATTCCAGCCACTCTATAGCTTAAAACATAACATTGAAAACTAGTAGAATAAGAATAAAGTTGGATTTATATATACATATAATGGAATTGTTCTTATTGTTCAGTGTTATTGAATCATTTTTTTTACTCATAGAGACACTATGCACAACAGAATGAAACACTGCCAGGTCCTACACAATACTCACAATTGTTACTTCACTTGAGCACATTGCTGCTGCCACAGTGTCAACAAAATTACTATGCAAAAAATACTCATATTATGAGAAACAATGTCAAAATGTGGGTTGCTCTTAGGGTTTATTCCAACATTTTGCTTGCTTATTTTAAGTGTCTGAAAAAAAAAAATCCTTTTCCCCATGCAGTATCTACAACTAATTAAGTTTTATTGCTCAAGTATTACTGATATGAGCAAGCTCACCTCTAACCTAAAGAGATTTGGAAATCAATTCACCAAAAAGCACATCTAATAACACTTTCCCTCCAAATACTTAATTATTTTCGCCTTTATTTTTCATATCAAGTAGATATCAAGACAGTAAGTTTTTAATACATTTCTTAACCTCTTGATAAATTACCACCCTTTTCAAAATACAGGGAGGAAATTCCCTCAGATATTCACAACTTAAAAGCCTAAGCCCAAAGAAGAATGCAGCCAAAATTAGATTGATACTTTTAGTATTGAAAAAAAATGCTGTATCACTATACAATCAATATATTGCTAATGTTTCAAGTATCAACAGCAAATATCTGCCCTACTCCTCTGATATTTAAAAAAATACATATTCATATGAAGATGGCAATGAAAAACTGTACAATCATTTGAAGCAGAAAAGAAATAAAAGTGTAACAGCAAATATTCACAAGATAGCAGTGAACCTTAATGAATACAGATTCTAAGATTAGCCAATAATGTTTTGCTTGGTTCAAGTATGATCAAAATGATTAGTGTAAGAAATTATTCACATATGGTGGAACACAGTTATATATAGGATGTCTACCTCTCTAATTTGTTTTAAAGCTTCAGTCATACACAGATGAATTTGGAAAAGCAGTAGCTCATAAATCAAAGTACTTAGTTCCAGTATCAATTCTGTCAGTATGAGATTTAAGAACCTGGACAAAGCCAAGCTTGTCAGTAATCTCATCTGTGGTTATATAGTTAGTAAAAATCATTCCACTTCACTTTCAGGGCTTCTGTGAGGATCAAATGGCGAGTAATAGGAAGTGTGGGGTTGAAAAGTTTAAAAAGTTCTTTATAAAATGTATGCTTATTATACTGAAATTGTTCTCAGTAATCCAGGTTTGGTTTCACAGGGCAAGTAACATCAAGCCCTAATCTTGTAGCTCAGAAATTATTACAAGTAGTACCAGATAAATTTCTCAGATTTCACTGTTGTAATATGTATTCACAGCATTTGCAATGAAATGAGGCAACTATCAGGTTATGTTGCACAGTTTTAAAGACTTGCCTGAATGAGCACATATGACTCAGCTGAGGATAGTTTAACAGGTACTCTTTATTAGAAGTTGATCTATTACATCAATAATGCATATCTGATAATATACCTCCATTAAGAGATCATTTTGCCTCCGTTACGTATTATCTGGATATCATTGTGTTTTTAACAACCTATCACATCTGATGAGTGGCATAAAATAGTGAAAATTCTCTCAAATAAAGAAATGCAGACATGGATTAGTTTTCGTAGATGCTTTGCTTGTAGTTTTACCAAAAAAATGTCTTTCTTACGGAAAATACTTGTTATTGTTCTGTTCATCTCTGAAGACATCTATTAATCTCCAATTACTTCACACACATACACAACCAACAACTAACTTAAAATTAATTATGATTCTTTATAGTTTAAAATTCAATACTGAGAGGGGAAAAAGGAATTCATTTAAGACCCCTAACTACATCTGCTGCTAAAATATAGATACTGTGTATGTTTCAGCAATGAACACACTGCAGCAAATAAGGACATGTGAGGTAAAGGCAATAGTCAGGAAACAGAATGCTTCTACTTACTGCAAATGAAAGTAGTTTCATCTGAATTATCAGCACAGTCATTCACAAAATCGCACAGCTTGTCCTTTGGAATGCAGTGCTGGTTCGCGCACATAAATTCTTGAGCAGTGCATTTCCTGTCTGGGCTAAGTAAGGGTGAACAATCTTGAAAGGAAATATCATCCAGTGCCACATCTCCAATGTAACTAATGCCACGTTTTGCCCTGAAGACAATCTTTAAACAAACAGAAAATCTGATTTCAGTTGCACTCTCAAATAGTTCAAAAGTTATAGCAAACATAAAATTTCTAACAGAGAAATTGAATCTAATGAACCCACCGAATGAAGCTAATAAATGGACTCCTGAACTGGTGTTGCAGGATCAGCACTGGACTGTGAACCACATGATCAGTAGTTCAAATCCACCAAATGCTCCTCAGAAACCCTACACAGGGTCGTGATGAGTTGGAACCAACATAACAACACCAAACAACAATGAAGCTAACCCATGACCTTAGGATCAAGTAAAAACTGTGCCATCCTTGACATCTAAGAATGTGGGTGTAGCACCATCATGTTTGTTGTTGTTAAGTGCCCTCGATTCAATTCCTAACCATAGGGGCCCTGTATAGGGTTGCCTAGGAGAAACTGGTAAGCATGAACCGCTGACTGTGCAGTTCAGACAGCTTTGCAGTCTGATGCATTAACCCACAACACCACACCAGGACTTCTCATGGTTAGGTTTCTACAATACGTGGTCTAGAAAAGTGACAAGAACCACCAACCCATTACTGCTCATTCTGCCAACACTAAGGTCCTAACCAAGACCTGCTCTTAAAAGCAGATAGCCAATCAGATGGCCTAAGAAGGAAGCATGATCTTTATTTTTCCAATTAATGTAATTTCTCAGATCGCTCCATATAACTACTTAAAAGCTAATAGCTACCAAAACTCGGTATTATAAATTTTGTTTTTCTTTAATTGACCAGGATCCACTAAGGTGATTCTATCTTTGAAAGTTACTAAATAAAATGATGCAAAATGCCCATATATACTTCCATATACAAATTGTAGAAATATCTTATAATTGCTCTCAAAGATTGGAGAACCCCAACTTTGAGGCTAAAGGAAACAGTATTTTAAAATGGAATCATTCTGGACAGTATGCCTGGCTCTTCACTGTATTCATAATTATATTCATAGTGCCTTGCTCACAGTAAATGTTCCATATATGTTTACTGAAAAACTAAATGAATGATGCCAAACATTGAATACTCACAAACCATTCATATTTACCTTTATGATTCAAACAGTACAATTCTACTTCCTTTTGATCAAGTTTCAATATGTGAAACACTAGAATTTCACAAAGGTTAAATTAATAATTGACCCCCCCTTTTTTTCATGTATTTCTCCTGTAATGTTATTTTGAACATGATTTTGCTTAATAAATCGCCTATTTGGAAACTTAAATGGCTGTGCATGGTATGAAAGCCTCTGTCTAACAGCCACGAAACAGCTATGTATTTTTATTAAGTATTTTTCAGGCAGAATTCTCATAATACATTTTCATTTTCTGCAAGACCATCAAATTGCTATGCAACCAGTACTCAGGTTTAGCTTATTTCTTATCCATTCTCTAGTTTATCTACAACCGAGCCCTAAGAAAACAGGATTTAATGAAAGACTGAAAATATGAGATTTACTCCAAAAACTAACATTTCAAGAAACTGGGCATAATGAAGTACAAAAGCATTTATCCAGTTTGTGGAGTCCTGGTGTGGTGCTGTGGGTTAAAGTGCTGGATTACAAAGTAAGTTTAAACTACCAGGTCGGCAGTTCAAGCTCACCAAATTCAAGCTCCTTGAAAACCCTTTACAGGTCACTATGAATTGGAATCAATTCAATGACACTCAACAATATAATCCAATTTGTGCTTCTATTTCAGTTGGGAGACTGACCCACTAGAGAAAGCTCATGATTCTATACATATTTAGTGGACATTAACAGCAGAGTTGGTTACTCCTGCTGCACATACAAAAAACTGGAGATGCAATATTTAGCAAAGATCTTATCCCTTCTATCTAGAGATAAGGAGTTCTAAACTCATGGAAATAAATCCTGGGCATTAAGTCAAGATTAAGTAAAGAATAGTTCTCCTACATAAATGGTCTGCTTTTCTCTCTGTTTATTTAAATTTTAACAAATCTTAAAAGCTAAGTCTCATTCTCCAGGAAAAATTTCCCAGAAACTATTGTCCATGGAGTACTTCCTTCATTATCCACAAAAAAAAAAAGAAAATCAATAACCAAATACCTTGTTTTAAATATTATATTTAAAACAATGTATTTTAAATTCTGACATTTTAACCTATTACTTGTACTTTTATTGATTATTCAATATATATATATAGGACTTATCCTACTAATATTAATATAATCTACATATGACAAATACAGGATTACAGAATGTGTTCCTTCCAACACACATTTTTCAATTAAATAAATGTCTCACCTATAAAAATAAGTCTGTGTTTTTAATTAGGTTTCAAATAATTTAATTACTTTAAAGTCTCTAAATTTTTTTTAAATAATAGAGATGTGTCCTTTATGTGGGAGGGTGATTTGGGTGGATGTTGTCACTCTAATTGTGAACAGAAGTAGGATTGCTTAACTGGGAGAAATTAAGGCATTCTGGAATTGTAAATTCCATACAGAAAATATCATATGGAGTGTTAAAAGCTGAGCCTCGGTTTTCATGCAACACATAAAGAAAAGAAATAAGAGGACAAGAAGACTCTAAGTGGAAAAAATGAGTAAGAATGAAAGAAAACTAAACTACTTAATTTCTTTATCACATATCTACTTGGATTACAAACCTGGGTATATGAATGAATGCCCAGAAACACTTCGACTTTTTTCCACTGTGCACCTTGCTGTCCAGTTTGGGCCCACAATTTAGAAGTAACGTTGCCTTTCTTACTCAGAACCTGCAAAGATAGATCATGAAAAAGGTGCTGAAATATTTTGCCTTAATATGTTTCACATATATAGAATTGCCCCATGAAATGTTTGTTTTATTATTTTAATGTGAATGCTAAGTCTCTAGGAGACTTAGAGGTGCTATGGGTTAATGCGCTGGACTGCAAAGTCTGCTTGAAAGGCCAGGTTGGCGATTCAAGCTCACCAGTTGATCCTTGGAAACCCTATACAGAGTAGCTATGTGTTGGAACTGACTCGACAACACTTAAAAACAATGAGCAACAACAACTAAGTCTCTAAGAAAAGAGTAACAGATACTTTTCATTAAATGTCTTTGTTTGCTACTACGAAGTTATAACATTGTGCTTCTAAGTTTCTTCACAAGCTTCTGATATGAAGGTATGCATGAATATCTGATAGTTATAGCCAAAGATATCTAAGAATATGATCTTTATGATCTCTTAACCAATTCATGTTTTTAAAAATTTAGCAGCAATAACAGTTCTAATTTTATATATTAAACAATATTCATGTGGTAGAATGAAATTGCATGCAGTTACTAACGTAATCATTTGAGAACAACCTTCTTCATGCTCTCAGTTTCAGTGGGAGTGGTGTAAGATCATTAAGCTATAATTGCATAGATGGCTGACCTAAGTGGCTACCTACTAAAGCTGTAGTTATGAGAACTCTTTGCTAAACACTCTTGAAATGAAGGAAGCCTCACCAGGAACTTATTCATACTCTAAAAATGAGTTCAAATTATTCTCAGCAGACAAATTATTGCTGTTCTTATCTTCTTTGTAGAATGATAAGAAGTCAGTCATCAAGAGAGCAATGATGATGGGAAGAACACAACAATTGCCAGTTTTAAAAATCACTTGTTAACATGGTTTACTCATTTCTTTCAGAACATTACATTTTAAAAACACTATTGATGTGTTCGAAGAATAATTAAAGGATTTGTGGATGTTATGACTTTTTAATGTGAAGGTTAAATTTTAATAGATTCCTTATATTTTTTTTAAATTATGTATATTTTAAATTGAAATTCAGATTATTGTTTTATAGAACGAACATTTCGAGTCATATAAAAAGTAACATGTTGCTAGAAAACAAGCAACATGAATGTTTCTCCATAAAATGCTAGATAATTCAACATACTAATAATGTCAAGTAAATGAAATTTCTAACTAAGATATGAAAAGCATTTTTGAAGGATAATGAAAAGAATGTTTAAGAAGCAGATCGTCCTTATATGATTATAACATTACAGTTACCTCTAAAACAAATGTTTCATGTAGCCATTGATGTGACATTTAATGTTATTTTATTCAGTTTTACACAAAGATCACATATATCAAACTATTTAATTAATCCTTTAATAAACTCTAATACAGTTTTACAACTTTTAGTCTATTAATACAAACTCTCATTCTGAAAAAATGTAAGTATATTTCAGATAATGGTGTGGCACTATGGATCAGCACTAGAATGTGAACCACAAGGTCGATAGTTGAAATTCATCAGCTACTCTTTGGAAAACATACACAGGTTCGCTCTTAGTCAGAACTGACTGGATGACACTAACAACAACAAACAAAATATACCAGGTAAACAATTCTTTACTGATCAAAATCCTGCAGTTGTTGTTGCCCAGTTCTGACCCAGAGCAGACCTAGAAAGGGTTTCCAAGCAGCTGCTGGTTTGGACTGCCAAGCTTGTGGTATGCAGTCCAGTTCTGATTCTACAGCACCATATCAGTAAAATTCTCATTTGACTGATCAAAAACCTGCAGTAAGGTATATTAACTGTTGTGACTAATACCACTTAGAAAAGTCACAGTTAAAAAAGTAATATACTTTAACTTCAAGCTATTAAACTATTAAGGCACTGTTTTAGATTATTAGACAAGCAAACACACACACCCACAAATATATTTAAATTTTTTTGTGTGTAAGTTTTCTTATCACAAACAGGACAACTTTTCTAAAATTCATCTATAAATTTAACACATTTTCAATATAAAACAGTAACAACAGGTATATTTATTTTGAAATAAAGGAAAGTTAATTATAATCAGATAGAAATATTCCACAAATGAAACATAAAAGAAGAAGTATCTAAAATTAAAATTATAATCAAGGTGTTTGGAAAGAAGTGGTTAAGCAGCTGGTCTCTAGTCTACTTTTTTCTATTTATTGGCAAAGAAGAGGACAAGTAACTTAAGGTCAATTTCCTTGCAGACATGTTTAATGTAGGCCTCTTAGCAAACAAATGAATGGTATTTGAGTGGGATAGAGTCTTAAATGTGGAATGCTTTTAGCTAGTTATCCCTGGTCTAAAACTCCTCATAGTACACAATTACGGAATCTGTGAACTTGTTTTTCAGACATAGCTTCCTAAAACAATGTCATGTAAAACATAAAACAGCACAAATGGAAAGGTTTAAAACTGCATTTTCCTGTGAAAGTGATGAGTCTGTACAAAGTATTTACAAATCTTATATATATGGAGAAGGAGCTCTGGTAGCGTAGTGGTTACGAATCGGGCTGCGAACCTTAAGGTCAGCGGTTCGAAACTACCAGCCGCTCCGCAGGAGAAAGATGAGGCTTTCTACTCCCGTAAGGATTTACACCCTCGGAAACCCTGTACAGGGTCGCTATGGGTTGGAACCGACTCGATGGCACTTAACAACAACAACATATATATGGAGATCTGTGTTAATATTCCAGAACTATTCTGTTTTTCCTATATATCTAGGTTCACTAAAAGAGAAGAAGACCTCTTGATGAAATTATTAATATCAAGCATGGGGCAGAATAAGAGCAAGATGAGTTTGGAGCATCTTTTTCACCATTAAAAAAAAGAAATTTCATAATTAATTATGAGGCTTGTCAAGCAAATATACTTGTCAGCATGGAGGGACATCTACTAAACAAGTATGGAAAAATTTGAATGCCAAAATATATAATGCAAACAGATAATACATTGTATAAAATAATAACCATGACTCCACACTGATGTCGATACATTTATCAATTGACAGTTAAGAGAAGAGAATGTTATTCTTCACAACAGAAAACCAGCCTGTAGATATACATGGAAGAATAGAGTCAGAAAAATTGCAATTAAGCAACATCATGTTAAAATTAATTTAGGCAAAGAAAAAAATGTATGGTTAAAAAAAAAAAAAAAACAGCAGTAGTAAAAATTGAGGCTGGTATCAATAATTTGCATAGCTTGAAAAATATTCCTTCATGCGAATCAATTGAAAAGATGCTTCCTTGGAGGTGTGGTTTACTCTCAATATAATGAACACACAGGAAAAGTTTGCTCTTTTCCTCTGGGGACTTGGGACTCTACAATTGTGATCCATTTTCTGGATTATAAACTTCTTTTATACACATAAATATATTGTTGTTGTTAAGTGCCATCGAGTCAGTTCCTACCCATAGCAACTCTGTATAGGATTTCTGAGGAGCAGCTCATAAGCTTGAACTGCCGACGGTGCAGATCAAATGGCTTTACAGTCTGGCGCATTAACTCATAGCGCCACACCAGAAATATACATGTTATTTTTGTTGTTGTTGTTATATGCCTTGGAGTCGGTTCTGACTCATAGAGACCCTGTACATGGTTTCAGAGGCTGTAAATCTTTATGGGAGCAGAAAGCCTCATCTTTCTCCCGCGGAACAGCTGGTAGTTTCGAACTGCTGACCTTAAGTTTCGCAGCCCGATTCGTAACAACAACGCTACCAGAGCATGCATAAAACGTTGCTGTTATGTGCCAAAAGTTGGTACTTCCTCATAGTAACTTTACCCACAATAGAATGAAACACTGTCCAATCCTGATCCAACTTTATAATTGTTGCTATCCTTCAGCCCATTGCTGCTGACCAAGTGCCAATCCACATTGTTATGGGTTTTCATCTTTTTTTGTAGACCCTATGCTTTATCATGCATGATGTCTTTCTCCAGGGACTTTTCCCTCTTGATATGTCTGAAATATGAGAGATAAAGTCTCGCCATCCTGGATTCTCAGGAACATTATGGCTGTACTTCTTCCAAGACTGATCTGTTTGTTCTTTTGGCAGTCCATGGTACTTTAAATTTTCTCCTTCAACACCCAAACTCAAATGCATCACGTCTTCTATGGTCTTCTTTATTCATTGGCCAACTTCACATGCATATGAGGTTACTGAAAATATCATGGCTTGGGTCAGGTCTACCTTAGTCCTCAAACTGACATCTTTGCTCTTGAATACTTTAAAGAGGTCTTGTGCCCCAGATTTGTCTAGTGCACCATGCCATTTGATATCTGGACTGCTGCTTCCATGAGTGCTGATGCTTGATCCAAGCATAATGCACTCTTTGGCAATTTCAATCTTTTCTCCACTTATCCTGATGCTATTGATGGGTCCAATTGTGAGGATTTTTGTTTTCTTTACATGGAGTTGTAACCCATACCAAAGGCTATGATCGTTGATCTTCATCATTAAATATTCTAAGTCCTCTTCATTTTCAGCAAGCCAGATTGTATCATCTGCATATCACAGGGTGCTAATGAGTCTTCCTGCAATCCTGATGCCACATTCTTCTTCATGTAACCCCGCTTCTTGACTTATTTGCTCAGCAGAGTGATTGAATAATTATGGTGAAAGAATATAGTTCTGTTGTACCCTTTCCTAATTCTGAACCATTCACTCTTCCCTTCTAATGTTTGAAAAACATTAGAAGTTTTTCCTAATAGGTTTATGTAGTTTCCTAATAGGCTTATTTAACTGTTCTGGAATACTCATTCTCCACAATATTGTAGATAGCTTGTCATAACCTGCACAATCAAAAGCCTTTAGTTAATCAATAAAGCAAAGGTAAACCTCTTTCTGGTATTCTCTGTTTTCAAGCAAGATCTACCTTTTGTCAGCAATGACAACACTCATTTGACATCCTTGTTTGAATCTAGCTTAAACATTTGTGAGTTCCCTGCCAGTGTAATGTAACAGTTGTTCTTTAGTTATCTCTAGTAGAATATTACTTCCATGTTATATTAATGATATTGTCTGATGATCTCTACATTCCATTGGGTCACCTCTTTAGAATGGGCACAAATGCTGATCTTTTAAAACCAGTTGACCTGGTAGCTGTCTTCCAAATTTCTTGGCATAGATAAGTGAGTGCTTCCAATGCTGCATCAGTTTGTGGAAAGATTTCAATTTGTATTCCATTAATTCCTGGAGCCTTGTTCATTGCCAATGCCTTCAATGCACCTTCGACTTCTTCCTTCAGTGTCATTGTCTCTTGTTCATATGCTGCTTCTTGAAGTGGATGAATACTGACCATGTCTTTTTGGTATAGTGACTCTTTTCCCTCAATCTTTGTTTGATGCTTTCTGCATCATTCAATATTTTGCCCATAGAATCCTCCAATATTGAAAGTTGAGGCTTGAATTTTTTTTCTTCAGTTGCCCCAGCTTGAGAAATGCTGAGCATGTTCTTACTTTTTGGTTTTCTAACTCCAGGTCTTTACATATTTTATTATGATATTTGACTTTGTCTTCTTCAGCTGCTCTTTCAAATTTTCTGTTCAGCTCTTTTACCTCCTCATTTCTTCCATTTGCTTTATTATCTCTATGCTGGAGAGGAAGTTTCAGAGTCTCTTGTGACATCTATTTCCTCTTTTCTTTTTTTCTTGTCTTCTTAATGTTATTTTACTTTCTTCCTATATGATGTTCTTGATGTCATTCCACACCTCTTCTGGTCTTCATTCTTAAGTATCTAATGCATCAAATCTGTTCTTGAGATGATCTAGAAATTCAGACAGGATATGTTCAAGGTCATATTTTGATTCTTGAAAATTTTTTCTTCAGCTCTAGTCTGAAGTTGTATATGAGCAATTTTCTTCACCCATGGACTAAAGCCATTCACATGCATACAGTTTTTCTACAATATCTTTTCACAGATGTAGTCAGTTTGATTTCTGTGTATTCCATCTGGTGAGGTTCATGTGTATAGTTGTCTTTTATGTTGTTTAAAAGGTGTGTGCAATGAAGATGTCATTTTTCTTGTAATATGTGATCTCCAGCATCATTTCTGTCACCAAGACCATCATTTTCCAATGACTGATATTTGTTTCCCACTTTGCTTTTGATTGCCAGTAATTATCAATACATCTTGATTATATTTTTTTATCAATTTCAGACTAAAGAAATTGGCAGACTTTACAGATTTATCATCACTGGGCTTTAGTGGTCTGTGCATGAATTTGAATAATAATTGTATTAACTGTTCATCCTTGTAAGCATATGGATAATACCCTGTCAAAAACAGTGTTGTACTTTAAGAGAGATCTTGAAATGTTCTTTCTGGAGGTGAATGTGACATCATTCTTCTTCAATTTGTCATTCCTGGCATAGTAAACAATGTGATAGTCTGATTCAAAATGGCCAATACCAGTCCATTTAAGTTCATTAATGCATAGGATATCAATATTTATGCATTCCATTTTATTTTTGACAACTTTCATTTTTCCTAGTTTCATACACTTTACATTACATTCCTCTATTATTAAAGGATGTTCACAGAAGTTTCTCTTCATTTTGAGTTGTGCCCCATCAGCAAAGAAAGTCCCGAAATCTTTACTCCATTTGTCCCATCATGGCCAACTCTATTTTGAGAAGGCAGCTCTTCCTCAGTCATATTTTGAGTGCCTTCCAACCTGAGGGGCTCAGCTTGTGGCAGTGGATCTGTGCTCTTCATCATTCTTTAACATTCAGTATTCTGGAGCTGACAGTGTTCCACTACTATTCATCAGGTTTCCTTTCAGTGACTAAATATTCGGAAGCAGTCCATCATTTCTTATTTCATCACTCTTAGTCCAGAAACTCAGTTGAAACCTGTCCACCATGGATGACTCTGCTGGCATTTAAAATATTGGTGACATAGTTTCCAGAATCGCCAGAACACACAAGCCATAATAGTATGACAAAGTGACAGATGAGTGGTAGAGATACACACATACACACACACACACACACACACACACACACACACACTCACACACACACACTCTGGTTTTGCTTCTCTAAACAGCCCAACCTAAGACATGTGGTAATGAGAGAGACGGGTTCTAGAAAAACAAAATCACAAGGATAAATTTTCTAAATCTGTTTTCTAGTCTAATTCTAAAGGAACTGATAACTCTGCCTCCATTAGTAAAGAAAGTTATTGACCTCAATTCATAGGAGTTCTGATCTCAACTTCATAGGAATTTTCCTTGGGCTGATTTTTACTTTGGTTCTCTTTCAATGTTGTGGAGTCAAAGTAAGTTATATATTGCCCCCACATGGTTTCTGGCAGTTGGCATCAGGAGTGGGACTGACTGTAAGGGCTCCAGACTTATGGAAGCATGAAATTTTGGAAGATAAAGAACAAAGGGGCAAGGGAAGTGAAGCATTTGCTTTTTAGATGGTTAGTTTGGATTCTGTTACCTGTCAAGTCTGAAAGGAATGCAAGATATAAAATGCTTCCGCTTAGTGGAGAAAAGCAGCTTCTAGAGTTGCCTGGAGCAGATGTAATTGACAGTTATTGTAAATAGCTGATAATGGATTCCAGCCTACTGGATCCATTCTGTTAGAGGTTCAAATAATATGCATACGAATAGTGTTATTCCAAGGGTGAAGAAAAGATTGAACTTGAGTGTTTTTAAAAGGCTTATATGTTTGTCTGCTTCATGGATACAGGTTTCTCCTGCCTAGTGTTATAAAATACACATACAAGTTTGATGGAAATGAATATTGGGATTTATGATCACAAAGAGTTTGTAAGCCAACCTTCAGTCTATGCTGGATTGGATTTGCTAAAAGGGAAGTTAAAATTTGCCCATAAATAAGTTTATGTTTTAAGCCTTTGCAAGAAACAGTATGGAATCCTGAGCTCACCCAGAACCTTCAGGTTCTGTTATATCAAACGACATGCAGACCAACCAACCCAGAAGTGCTCAGAGAACAGGAGATTTAAGGTAAAAAGAAAGACCACAAGAAAAAAAAACAAAAACCAACAGTTTGGATTTTGAGTGTCAAGCAAGCTGTTTATCTTGGAGGTGTCAAGGCAAGAAAAGTCCTTCTAGGACTGAAAACCCCCTTCTAGGACTGAAAGTTAAAGGGTGAGCCATGTAGTATACTTGCTGGGGACCACCTGAGTCTGCTTGTTGAGTAGAAGTGGGGGAAATACAGCAATTAAGAGATGGGCTGAGTTGGGACATGTTCCACTGGACACCATAGACCTTGAAATGAGAGAAAGAAGAAGGTCTGGCTGACCTGAAATTTAGGGAGTTTTACGAACTCCTGAGTCCATGGGCACTGAACTAGATCCTGGGCACTAGGGCTTAGAGTAAAGGGGTCAGCTGTTCATTCTGAAGTGCAGGAAAGTGTGTGTGAACTCCCAAATTTGCTGCTGGTACCCATTTGACCTAGCTTAATGGTTAGGGCTGAGTTGGTCAGAACCCAGCTAGATGAAGAGACAGATATTTGAAACTGTGAACAAATATAAATTGCTACAATCTGATGGACTGTACTTTGCATATGTAGGTTGTTGTTCAAACTTCCAACTTCAGTTTAAGGAACACTCTTCTGACCTTAGAGTACTAGACTGATGTTGTTGTTAAGTATCCTGGAGTCGGTTCTGACTCATAGTGACCCTACACAGGGTTTCCAAGGCTGTAAATCTTTACTAGACTGATAGGGACAGTAAATTTTAAATGTAGGTATCATAAAGTCATGAAATGAGCTCTGATAGCATAGCGGTTGTGAGTTGGGCTACTCATCTCATGGTCAGAAGCTTGAAACTGGTTATAAATAGGGCTGCTAATCTTATGGTCAGAAGTTTGAAACTATCAGCAGTTCCCCAGGAAAAAAGATGAGGTTTTTTGCTTATCTAAAGATGTACAGCCTTGGAAACCCTATGCAGGGTTGCTGAGTTGGAGCCGAATCAACGGCACATAACCACCACCACCATCATAAAGGCATGAAGCAGTTAGCTTATAAGCTTACATGGGTACGCTTAGTTTCAGAATGAAGGGGGAAAAGAGAGAATCCTCACTGAATAGTTTTCCTCTTTTCCGGATGAGTCTGGTGAAAGGGGCTTTGGGATGATGCTAACAGGATTTTATGATTCAATTGTGAGTAATTTTAATCATTCAGATACAAATGTTAAAACTTATTTTTTTCTAAATGATACAATTTTTAGACAAGTGAAGAGTTTATCATTTTCCATTTTCATTATTAGACTATATTTTAAGAACACTAATTATGCAGTGCAAATTTTCATAGAGGAATTTCAGGAAATGCAATTGTCCAAGAAATACCTGGAGAGAACCAACTGTGTCACCATTCATGTGAGCCCAGAAAACCAAAGTACATTTTGGTCCCGTAATTGAAATAACAGGAGTAAAAATATCAGCCACGTCACCAAATTTTCCATTCGAACTATCAGCATACAGGTACCAGCCATCCGTGTTATTTCTAGGGAACACATTGGGTTTATCAGGATGGGGAAGAAAAAAAAAAAAACAACATTAAATATAAGGTTGGCACTGGTTATATTGTATATTCTACAGAATATCATATCAGTATAATAATATTTCTAGCATTTTGATTTTCAATCCACTGTCATTTTAATGATTCAATACGCACAAATATGGCAAAGGCTGAAATTCATAGATTGAAAAAATAATACAACAATGATACCAGAATACCCTGCTCAGTTCTTTAGAACTTATTTTCATGTATATACAATGAGGTGTTGAATCATTGAAGATCATTTAAAAAGACATAATAGAAGAGAAAATACAAAGAAATGATTTAAACCAGAAGGGAAATTGGGCTGCTGTTCAATTCATAGATCTAGAAAACTCTAAGTTTTACTTTTATTATTTCTATTTTCATTCAATTCAATTTCACAGTAAATTATTTTAATAAGCTGATATGCAATTTCTAAATATATATTTTCTTTTGTAAGTACCAGATGAAAGAAATAAATTAAATTATGGCAACTGAATTTCAAATATCAATGTGTTCTTATGAGAAATGACAAAGTTTAAGTCCCAACTTAACTATAAATTTTTAAAAAAGATTTAACAATGCATTTTAAATATGTTATGTAGTATAAAAATTTTCAATTGACAAAAATAAATAAATGCCTCATAAGTGATTATGGTCCTCTTTTTTTTGATTAACTGGATTTCTAGTCACTTTTTCAACTGTTGAAAGTATAAACTATAAGTACAAGCCAAAATATATGCTGTATACTTTAACCTTTTACTTATTTAATTTTACTTTGAAAGTTTTATCATGTTCTTTGTAAACAAACAAAAAAAAAATTGTGAAATCAATAATGGCATACAGTTGGATAAGAAGAAACAGTCAATTAATCTTTAAGCTGCCAAATGTTTATTGAGTCTTCAGTCTTTCTAGTCTTGACAGGGAATAAATACAACTCAACAAAACAGACAGAACTGAGTTTAGCCTTTGGTTTCATCATTTACAAGATAGACACTTTTGGATAATATATTTCATTTCTCTGACCCTATTAAATCCATGATTTATGAAATGGGATAATCCTCTATATGGTCATAATGTAAGAAATAAAATAAATAGAATATTTAACGTTGTACTTAACCCATTTTATATATGGTAGTTTTACTGTTGTTGCTAATGAATTAACAGTTTAGTGTCCTGCAAACCAAAGAGTGTATGAGGTAGGCTAGTTTTCAGAGGAAGATGGGTGTCCTGATGTGGCACTGTGGGTTAATGCACTGAACTACAAGGTCAATTTGAACAGCAAGGTAGGCAGTTCAAGCTCACCAGTCACTCCTTGGAAACCCTATACAGGGTCGATATGGGTTGGAACCAACTTGGTGGCACTTAACAACAACAATTATATTAATATGTCTAAATTACATCTCCATGTAAAAGTACTTCCAGCTTTGTTCCTAGTAGGCCTATATCTTAGCATCCCAGGAATGCCAAGAACAGAGATGAGAATACAGCCACATATACAAGGAGGCATCAAAACATTTATGGAAACATGGAATTAAAAGATAATGAATTTTTCCACTTTTATATTCATATGAAGCTCTCGCACATATAAATATAAAGGATTCCTGATGAGGTCTTGTAGGATGAAAACTGGACTTCTAACTGCAAAGTTGGCAATTAAAACTTACTAAATGCACAACAGAAAACCAGGGTAGCCATAAGTCACAAAAGACTCGATGCACTTAACAACAACAAATAAATAAAACATATAGGTTTATAAAGCCAACAGTGAGAACAAATATAGAAAAATAGCATGTACATTTATGTATGTATATATGAAGTTTTGTTTTGTTTTGGTTAAGTGCCACAGAGTTGCCTGTGACTCATAACCATCCTGTATAGAGTTTCTGAGGAGTGGCTAGTAGGTTTGAATCACCGACCTTACCAGTACTTACCTGACAGTTATATACCAGTGCTCCATATATGTATGTATGTATGTATGTATGTATGTATGTATGCATGTATGTACAGAGAGTGTTCTGGTGTGGAGCTGTGGGGTAATGAGTCAGACTGCAAGCCCATTTGAACCACAAGGTCAGCGGTTCAAGCTCACCAGCTGCTCCTCAGAAACCCTATACAGGGTCACTATGGGTCGGAATTGACTTGAAGGCATGTAACAACAAGATATATGTATCTTCTTGTGAGCTGCGGAGTTGGTTCTGATTCATAAAGACCCTGTATAGGATTTTCAAGGAGCAACTGGTGGGTTTGTACTACTGACCTTATATGGTTAGCAGTCCAGTGCTTATCCTGTTGTGCCACTCCAGGACTCTCTCTCTCCCTCCCTCTTTTTTCTGTGTGTGTGTATACAATATATATATTGTATCTCTCTCTATATATATATAGAGAGAGAGCTCTGGTAGTGTAGTGGTTACTAATCGGGCTGCGAACCGCAAGGTCAGCAATTCGAAACTACCAGCTGCTCCGCGGGAAAAAGATGAAGCTTTCTGCTCCTGTAAAGATTAACAGTCTCGGAAACCCTGTGCAGGATAGCTATGAGTCGGAACCAACTCCACGGCACATAACAACAATATGTGTATATATATGTATATATGTATATATATATATATATACATATATATATACATATATATATATATATATACATATATATACACACACATTTACTGAGTTTATATAAAGGTATGCACACATTTCTTTAAAGTTACTGCCAGAATTACTGAAATTGCATTATAATTTCTCATGAAATTAGTATATACATAAATGTCCCTAATTAAAAAGAGCTCTACTTCTGTGTTGTAACTGGAAGGACCGATTCCTCTCTGATTTTGCTATCACTGCCTTAAGTCTACTGGAGTCCTGGTGTGTGCTGTTGGATAAGCACTGGATTACTAAATCAAAGACTGTTGGTTCAAATCCACCAGCTGCTCCACAGGAACCTTAGACATGGTTGCAATGAGTCAGGCCCCCTACTTGATAGCACTCAACAAAACTAAATGCATGATTTAGTCTTTTCATTTCTTGCCTAGAATACCAAGCCTCATGAGTGGCTGTCTCACTTCTCTGTTGATTCATTCAATCTATTATTCATAATCCATTTAGGATAATCTTTTTTAAAAAAAGGAAACTTGCTTTACATAAATTCTCAAATCCACTACTTAAAATCTCATAAAATGTTCCTAGTGGATTTAAGAAATTGTAATAAAAATATTTAATATGAGCTACAAAACTGTATACTTGAGCCCCTGCCTAGATTATTTGATACTGCCATCAAATGGCAACAACTGAATAGATCTTGGGAAGTGAACCCATGTGATATGGGTCCAGCACACCTATAAATTATTAGAATCACTATTATGGAAACATCAATTATTCATATACCGATTTATAGATTCAATGGAATCAAATTCCAAGAGGCCTTTTTGTAGAAATTGAAAAACATTCTTAATTTTAATCCAAAGGTCTAAAATTGTCAATATTATCATGAAGGATAACAAAATTATAGGACTTACTCCATCAGATATCAAGACTTATTATAAACAGAGTAAGCAAGACAAAGTGGTATTGGAGCAGGGATAAATCCACAAAAGAAAGGCCAGAAAAACAGAAGCTATCGTCCTGAAACAGACCCACATATATTTAGAGACCTGATTTATGAAACAGTTTGCTCTGCAAAGCAGTTAGGGAAAGGACAATCTTTTAATCAATGAGTTGAAACCATTAGGTAACCATGTGGGGGGAAGAAAATGAACCTTGACTCCTATCTCACACCATTCAAAATATTCAATTATAGGTACAATGTACATAAAATTGGGGAATATAAAACAGTAAAGCACTATAACAAGTATATATAAAATATAAATATACAACAGTATAACGAGACTATAAAAAGATACACAAGAATATCTTCATGCTGGGGTAATTAAGGACAATTAACAAACAGTATTAAAAATCACTAGCTATAAAAGGAAAGGACTCCTGGTGTGGCACTGTGGGTTAACACGCTGGACTGGAAAGTCATTTGAACCACCAAGTTGGTGGTTCAAGCTCACCAGCCCTCCTCGGAAACCCGATCTAGGGTCGCTATGGGTCAGAACCGATTCAAAGGCACTTCACAGCAACACAACATAAAAGGAAACGATTGAAAACATGACTGCCTTGAAATTAAGGGCTTCTGTTGATCATAGACACCAGCGTTGTTGTTATGTGCTGTAGAGTTCATTCCGACTCATAGCGACCCTCTACAGGGTTTCCGAGGCTGTAAAGCTTTACAGGAGCAGAAAGACTCATCTTTCTCCCGCGGAGCAGCTGATAGTTTCAAACTGCTGACCCTGAGGTTCACAGCCTGATTTGTAAAATAGGATGGTAAAAAATGCCGACTACTGAATGGGAGAAAACACTTTTTTATCATGATTATTCAATCCTGACTGATTGATTATCTACTCTATAATAGGTAACATGCCATATGTTCAACTAAATATATTACATATTTACACACGTTCTAGTAAAAACCAGATGAAACATCTCAAAATGCTAGTATGTTTATTCTGTATTGGGGGCCATATCAGTTTTATTTGCTATATAGTACCTGGTTCATAATTAATGCTCAAAAAATATTTGTTAAATACACAAGTTTAATATGAGTTGAAAATAGAAGAGCACCAGACAGGGAACAAAGAAGAAGAATAGATTCAAATAAAAGTATAGATGAACAATTTGTCATGTGTCCCAAGCCAGGACAAAAACAACAGAAAACTCAGTTGATCTGTGGACTATTAACTAAGGAATTAAGTAACTAAAATGTATTAACTAATTAACAGTTTAATTTTTAACACATCAAAACTAATTAAACAACTAAAAGTCACAATTCTGGCAATATCAAAGCATTTAGTAAGTCAGTTTTCAACTAAAGTTTCCTGCATTAATTTCCCAGAAACTATACAATGAAAAAGATTAACATATTA